ACCCCTGGAGGTATTGAAAAGACGGGTAGATGAGGCGCTGAGGGACATGGTTTAGTGGGCATGGTGGTGTTGGGTTGACGGTTGGACTTGATGACCTTAGAGGTCTCTTCCAACCTTAATGATTCCATGATTCTGTGAAGGAGCTGCGGACCCTGCGTGGTGACCTACAGCCTCCTGCAGCTGGGTTTTCTTCTCTCGCTTCTTTCCAGGGCCTTTGCGTAGCGCCGTAAGCAGATGGGTTGAAAACCGCTACATCGTGGTGTTAGAAGCTTCAGCAGTTCAGACGGCTTTTCAGGGTGACTCGATGATTTCGTGAGCTGTGTGCAGTTTAGAATTTTACATTGCATCGAATCTGCTCGGGAGCTTGGGGAGAGCAGAGGTAAACTGCGAAGTAAGGACGTCCCAGGAGCGTCTCGAGTCTTCCCTCGGCCGTTGCTCTACGCAGCATCCCGCTGTTGCTCTTAGCTTTGCAACGGTGCTCGCCGCTTCAGGGGCGGGAAGCTTTGGAGAAGAAAATTGAGCTACGCGCAGGGTCTGAGGGAGGAGTGCTCGTAGGACAACTCTGAGCCGGGTCTGTCATCGGGGCGCTCGGTGTCCTCCTCTGCTGGGGAGAGCTGCCGGGTCGCCGGCGGAGGTGGCGGGCACAGGGTACGCTGATGCCGTTCGTCGAATACTGTCGCGTTTAAAAATGGACTTAGGGCTGTGGGGCAAGAATGAAGAGAGCTTCTGCTTAGAAAATTTTTCACTTGCTAGCGTTGGAGAGCTGTTTATTTGTCTTGGATAGATATGTCTAACTTTGAATGAGATTTCTCAAATTCTGGTCTCTTAAATGCAGACTCTTAAAACCTTTGATTTCTGTTCGTCGGCTCTACAGTAGGCAAATCTGCTTAATTTACTAGGAGTTAGTTATGAAAATGTTGTTAAAAGGCAAGCTAAAATTTTACTTGGATTGGTTGCGATGGCAAAACCTGCTGGGGGATTATTTTTTGTTACGTTTACAAGGTAGGAGGATTGACGGTGGGCATCTGTGGCTGCGTCTAAGGGCTCGTCAAGTGTCGGAGCCGCCGTTAGCGTGATGGGTAAGAAACTGAGACTCGCTGCGACCTGCAAGTTGCCGCGCCGCAGTTTCCTCTGCCGTGGGAGCAGTGGGAGGATCTGCCCCCGAGACCTCGCTCTCGCCTGCGCTGGCATTTGTGATGTTAGCTTGTGCTAGCTCTCCCGCTCTTCGGTCCGTGGCCTCGAGCCTGCCTGAGTGTACGCTGCCTCCCCCGCCCCCCCAAGCACCCACGGGGTTGGTTTGTTTTGTTTTTTAATTTTGTTTAGTTCGCTGTGCTCCGTGGGAGTGGTTTAGCCAAAGTGATGCGCAAACCCTAAACGGTCTTCAGGTGCCACCAAACACGTTTTTATTCTGGCAGAGCAGAATTGTCAGGTTCTTGGTTACAGGAACGCAAAAAAGAGAAGGAAAGCACTCCAAAAAGACACACAGGCTCTGAGTGTCCTTGACGGTAATCCGTGGCCTTGGCTGCTCCTTAGGATCTCCTCCAAGCTACCTTCCCCGTAAGGGAACAGAGGACGCCGCTGCCCAGGGCTGTGCCCCTAAAATGTTCCGGGGAGACCTTGCGGGGGTTTAACCCTGGTGAGAGAGGCAGTGGTTTAACCTGCACCCCCGTTAGCAGCCTTCTCAGAAGGGGGCCCGTCCCTGCTCCTTCGGGGGGGATTTTAACGCTTGCCTGAAAGTTTATAGTCGGTTCGTAGATGTCTCTCTGGTTTGGTTTGGTTTGGTAGGTTGGTGTGGTGACTTTGGCACTTCTGGGAGCGTTGCTGAATGATGGTTTGTAGCCTGCCTGTGAACAGGTATCTCTGAACAGCAGGGATCTCTGGAGGCCGGTTCCTTCTGCCTTTGTTTAGCTTGATCTCGCAAATTTAATTGATTTTTAGCCCTAAGCTTAAAATATGTTGCAAATGATACAGCATTCATTTCCCACACAGCGTAGCGCTGTCGGGTACGCGATGTGTAAGTGTGTCGTGGTTTAACCTCAGTTGGCAGCCGCTCGCTCGCTCCCCCCCGGTGGGATGGGGGAGAGAATCGGAAGGGTAAAAGTGAGAAAACTCGTGGGTTGAGATAAAGACAGTTTAATAGGTAAAGCAAAAGCCGCGCACGCAAGCAAAGCAAAACAAGGAATTCATTCACTGCTTCCCATGGGCAGGCAGGTGTTCAGCCATCTCCAGGAAAGCAGGGCTCCATCACCCGTAACGGTGACTTGGGAAGACAAACGCCATCACTCCGAATGTCCCCCCCTTCCTTCTTCTTCCCCCAGCTTTATATGCTGAGCATGACGTCCCATGGTATGGAATGTCCCTTTGGCCAGTTTGGGTCAGCTGTCCTGGCTGTGCCCCCTCCCGGCTTCTTGTGCACCCCCAGCCTGCTCGGTCGGTAGAGCACGGGGAGCTGGAAAGTCCTTGACTAGTGTAAGCACTGCTCAGCAACAACTAAAACATGGGTGTGTTATCAACATTGCTCTCGCCCTAAATCCAAACCACAGCACTGTACCGGCTACTAGGAGGGAAATTAACTCTATCCCTGCCGAAACCAGGACAAAGTGCCAAAAGCAGCCGTCAGCCGTAGCGCAGAGCTGTCGCTATTACGTGTGGCAGTGACAGCCCCCCGTTCTTCCGGCTCCTTGCAGTTAGGTAACGAAGTGCAAATACAGAGCGTGGACCCTCCCTGGCAGCTTCTCTGAAGCTGTGATTTCACAGCAGGCTAACGAACTTCGCAGGCAGCAGCTTCTCTGAGGGCTGCCAGAGCGGGGACGTTTCCCTTCTCCAGCCTTGTCCTCTCCTTTCTGGTTCCGCTGCGTCTCAGAAGATGCTTCCTTGAGCCAGGTCACCTCGTCGGCATGACCGAGAGCTGTCTCTCCTCCTGCGGAGGTAGTTTCCCTTCCATGAGGTGAGCGGGTTGAATCGGCTCCCCAGGGAGTGTGTCAGGAGCCGAGCCGGCACACAGGGAGCAGCAAGAGGAGGGTGGGAGGGTGAGGACCGCCTTTTAGCAGCAGAGGTGCTAGGTCCGCTTGCCCCCTCTTAGAGACCCAGGCCTGATTTTTACAGTCCTCTTGCGTGTTTTGCTGAGCCTGCTCATTCTAGCCCGGACAACTGTCTTGCTGTCCCTGTTTTTCAAAACTGACGACCTCATTCTGTCTCACGGGAATTTACTCTGAAACTGTCTTTAGACTTCCCAGCTGATGCCAGTTTGCTCCAGGATCACTTGTGCTTTGCCAGCAGTGTGGACACCTGAGCCGGTGCCGGAGAAGCCTCCCGCTCCTCCCCGTCGGATTTTCAGCCTTGATGTTAAAGATGACTTTGTTCTCTGGGAATGGCCTGTCGCTGTGCACGTCACTCGAGCCAGGCTCTGGAGCACTTTCGGAGGGGTTTGTGCACGTCCTGGGTCTCTCGCTTTCGGTATAGCCTGGCTGTCCGGCAAGTTAATCAAGGTTGTGGAGGATTCCCAAGCTGCTGCTTCCAGAGGCTTCTGGACTACGCGCAGGAGAGCTACGTGCATCGGCTGAATGCGTACAGCACTTGGGAATCGACAGGAGGGTCTCCTGCTCTGCCAGAGAAACGTGGAGAGCATCAGGGAGCTCGTGGGGAAGGATGGCGTGTGGACGGAGAAGGGAAGGGAAGGGAAGCTTGCAGATGTTCT